TGCCTTGGCCTCCTGAGTAGCTGGGACTACAGGTGCCCTCCAGGACGCCCGGCTAATTTATCTATTTTTAGTAGAGACGGGATCTGGCTCTTGCTCAGGCTGGTCTCAAACTCCTGAGCTCAAGCGATCCTCCCGCCTTGGCCTCCCAGAGTGCTAGGATTACAGCCTGGCCTCAAATTCTTTCAATAATAAGAAAATAACCCAATTAAAAAATGGGCAAAGGAACTCAATAAACATTTTTTCAAAAAAGACAAATGGCCAATAGCTATGTGAAAAGGTGCTCACCATCACTAATTATTAGGGAAATGTAAATCAAAACCACAATGAGATGCCACCTCAAACCTATTAGAATGGCTAACATCCAAAAGATGAAAGATAACAAGTGTTGGCGAGGATATGGAGAAAGGGAATCCTTGTACACTGCTGACGGAAATTGAAATTGGTACAGCCATTATGGAAAACAGTATGCAGGTTCCTCAAAAAACTAAAAATAGAACTACCATACTATCCCACTTCTAGATATAATCTAAAGGAAATGAAATCAGTTGCTTGAAGCACTCTGCACTGTCATGGCCATTGCAGCATCATTCACAGTAGTCAAGATACAGAAACAACCTAAGTGTCCTTTGGTAAATGAATGTGTAAAGAAATAATGGCATGCATATAAAATGAAATATTGTTTAGCCTTAAAAAAGGAAATCCTGCCATTTTTGACAGCACATATGAACTTGGGGGACATTATGCTAAATGAAATAAGCCAGATGCAGAAAGACGTGTGATATCACATATGTGGAATCTAAAATGTCAAACTAATAGGATCAGAGAGTAGAATGGTGGGAGATGTTCGTCAAAGGGTACGAATTAGAAGTTTGTACTTTCAGTTACAAGATAAATAAGTTCTAGATATCTAATATACAGCATAGTAACTATAATTAATAATAATATATTGTATACTTGAAATTTGCTAAGGGAATAGATCTTAAGTGTTCTCATCACACACAAAAAAGGTAACTATGTCAGGTGATGGATATGTTAATTAGTGTGATTGTGGGAATCATTACACAGGGTATACTTATATCAAAGTACATAACATGTTGGACACCTTAAATATATATAATTTTTTCTTTGTCAGTCACACCTCAATAAAGCTGGGAAAAACGATTGTCTTTTCAGATGATCTTTGGGTGGTTTCAAAAACCCTAGATTTTGAACTGGATACTTTTATTGCACGTAGTGCTTTCTTTGGACCATCATCTCTCAATGAGGTGGAGCTACTGCCTTTGAAAGGCTATTTCCCTTCTAATTGGCCCATTAACAGTAAGTATTACTATGCTCATCTTAATTCATATTTAAAAAGAATGATAGCCGTAGGATATACCGTGGGCAAGCATGCCGTGTGTGGGATTGTTTGATTAAAGCCAACAAAAAGTACCCATCTCTAGTTCCTACTGTCATGTCCAGTGTGTTCCTAAAAATGTGTATGAAAGTTGAATATATAAATAATTTCTTACATCAAGTTCTAATTCTCTTGGTTTATTTGAAGATATATTTAATAAATGATTTATTTTTACATTGAGAAGGTCTTGGAATATTTGTAAGGAGCTGAGCAGGAGGGTATGATTTTTTTGTATCTTATCATCTGTCTTGAGAAATTCCTGATAAGACAGGCTACCAGCCTTATTTTTCTTTTAATAAGGTAACCTTTAATAAGCCTGAATTTCTGTCTAGTTTTATGAATCTGTAGACTTCTCTACACATTTCAATCTCTAGAATTATTTCTGATGGTCAAATTTGGTTCATTACTGATTAAAGATACAGCACTTAATGACACATCTTTAGTGTTTCATATAGTTTTTAATTTTTGATCTTTTCTTTCATAACTGAATAAACCTGGACAACCAGCTTAAGTCCAGTAAGAGCCTAATTAAGTAAACATTTATCCCTCGTCATATGGATATTTTGATATTTGTTGCAGTTGTTTTTCACCAATATCAGCATTTTAGTTTTCTGTTTTCCATATGTTTCTATAAAATAATTGAGGAAGAAATGTAAGAAAGTGTTTAAAAATTACACAAATAATACTGTATAGTACAAGTGGTGTGTTGATTAAAGGGAACTGCTGGCTGTCAGGCAGTGCAACAATGCACTAACCCAAAACAGGTGTTCTTGTTCATTTGCTGATGTATGGAAGTCCAAATATGATTTAAGTTTTGCAATTTATGGGTACTCACATATAAAGTGAATGAACGGATAGTATAGTAATTTAATGGATAAGAGTTTGGGACCTCTGCATGTACTTAAGGGTTCATTTTATGTCATGTGGTTAATTTGATAGCTGAACTCTAAATTATATGGACATTTAATACAGAGTTTTTTTATGGTCCATTTTATTTACATCAAATGTTTATTTTCTGCATCCTCTCTACAGTGGTTGTCCATGCATTGTTGGTTTGTAATGCTAGCACAGAGCTGACTACTTTGAAAAATATTCAGGACTACTTTAATCCAGCTACTCTACCTCTCACACAGTACCTGTTAACAATGTAAGTCATTATTTACCTTTGAGTCATTGGTATCAAAAAATGGCAACTAAAAGTGAATAAGAAAATGCAATAGAAGTATATTACAGAAATATCAATAAAATTTTAATAATCTTTCAGACTATGAAATTACTGTCAGTCAGTAGTTAAAAAGAGAAAGGAATATGCATCATTTCCATCTATCTATCTATCTGTTATGGTTTGAGCTAATAAATGTTACCACAAATTTTTTCCCTTGGTCAAGGGATAATGTCTTAAGGATTATTTGAGTGTTTATTTTATTTTTTATTCATCTGTATTTTATATTTTTATGCCACAAATTATTTAACATTTAAAGAATCATTTTACAGCTTGAATCCAGTGTATATTGATACTGATTTTATTCTTGACATCACCCACATCTCATTTTCAGTTTTTCAAGCACCAAGTCCCTTTTTAAAAAAATTGGAAGTGATGTTATATTAATGCATTAAAGTAATAAAAAAAGTCAAATTTTCAATTTAGAATATTACTATCTGTGGTTTATTTTTCTGACCACGTAATGTCCTAGGTAAAAAATATGATTCCATTATGTTATTTATCCAAGTTGAAATGAATTCAGTCTTTATAGAAATAGAAATAAAACCAATTCATGTATTTTACCTGAAATAGAGGGTACATTAATTATATAAGCCAGGTTTATATGATAGAGCCTGGGCTTTGAAGTTAGTCCAACCACTTGTTAGTGGTGTGGTTTTGGGGAAAAATATTATATTTTTGTATCCCTATTTGGGATAATTAACTACTTCCTAGTGCTGTTGGGAAGATTTGGTCAAGTAATATGTAAAATGCTTAGAATAGTGCCAGCACATAGTAGGTATTCAACAAAAGTTAGTTCTCTTCTACCCTCCTCCAAATAGGGATATGAATCCATTTATGGTTTGTTCTTATTTAAAAAATGTTCCCTGTGATGCTTACAAAGTGATGGCTAAGTGATGAAAAGATCTACTCACCTTTTTCAAAAGCCCCTAATTTTTTTTAATTTTGTTCGCTGCCTTTTTATTAGGTCTTCGCCAAGTGCATTTAGCAACAAAAGAGTCAGTCAGAGAAAATTTATCCCACCAGCCTTCACAAATATCAGCACAAAATTTGAACTACTCAGTCTAGGGGCAACATTGCAGTTAGCTGGTGAGTTAATTCAGGAACATAAGTTAAACAAGGATCAAGCCACAGCTCTAATTCAGATAGCTCAAATGATGGCATCCCAGGAAAGTGCTGAAGAAGTGAAGGAACTGCAAATCCACACCCTCCCTATCACTATCATACACGGTAAGAAGCAAGAAAGAAAACAATTCTAATAAGTACGTTATTAAATGTAAGCTTTTGTAACTTCTTGAGCTACGTGTTTTGTCATGCCTCTGCCTACAATGACCCTTTCTTTAAGCGGCCCGGATATCTTATTGTGTAAGACTTAGTTCCTGCTACTTCTTACTTTTAGGAAGTATCCCCACCTCTACCAAAGCAGAGATAGATGTTTTTCTTTTCCTAACCCCATAACAATGTTATTTACCATATTATTTTATCATTATTCCTTTACTTGTCTGTCATCTTAAGTAGACTGAGGTCTTATTAAAAGTTGAGGTATTTTGTGGCTCACGCCTGTAATCCTAGCACTCTGGGAGGCCGAGGCGGGTGGATCACTCAAGGTCAGGAGTTCTAGACCAGCCTGAGCAAGAGTGAGACCCCGTCTCTACCAAAAAATAGAAAGAAATTAATTGGACAACTAAAAATATAGAGAAAATTCGCCGGGCATGGTGGCGCATGCCTGTAGTCCCAGCTACTCGGGAGGCTGAGGCAGAAGGATCGCTTGAGCCCAGGAGTCTGAGGTTGCTGTGAGCTAGGCCGATGCCACGGCACTCACTCTAGCCAGGGCAACAAAGCGAGACTCTGTCTCAAAAAAAAAAAAAAGTGGAGGTATTTTGGTTATTTATCTGTTCATCCCTTGTGCTTAGCACATAGTGAGCACTCAATTTTTTTTTTTGGAGAAATTATTAATTAAATGAAAGAAAAAGAGAGGGAGATGGATGAAATCTTTCTTGTGCTTTCAGAAATTTATTTGTGACATTGCTTTTATTTTTTTCCCCTTATTTTAAAATAATTAGGTGTTTTTGGAGCAGGAAAGAGTTATTTGCTGGCAGTGGTGATTTTGTTCTTTGTACGGCTATTTGAAAAGAGTGCAGTTCCCATGGCTGGAAATGCAAGGCCATGGAAACTTCTGATTTCTTCTTCCACTAATGTAGCTGTTGACAGAGTGCTGCTTGGGTAGGTATGACAAGTGCATTGAAGTAGCTAATGCTTTAGGTCATTGTTGAGACAATATGGGCCCTACGTGTCCATGCGCATTTTTGCTGGGTGTGCCAAGAACCAAGGCCTTCTTCTCAGACAGGAGTCAGAATCTATGAAACAGTAACAGGCTAACTAATTAGTTTACAAGTAGGGTAAAATCAAATACCAAACCTGACAATTTTGGCACAATGATATTCATGTAAAAATTCAAGGTCAGCCACATACATGTGGGGCTAGAGATGTATTGGGGGAGGCAACCTGCCATTGGCCCTGAGTGTCCCTGCTGGGATGCCAAAGATGCAAGACCCCAACCACTTTTACCTAAGATACTCCTCAGGGTTGTGTTTGCAACAACCAACTTAGATTGAAGCAGTAATTGTCTGCCTCTAGGACAAAGCAGGCTTGCTTACTATTGTTATAGAAACAGTGGATCCTGCACTTCAGTGTTCCTGTCCTGCACCTCAACCCACTGCAGTTGCAGGCATTCACCTGGGAGCCGTGTATTTTTTAATACACATACATTTTGTTTTCCACACTGAGATTCAACAGTATATATTGTTTTGTGCCTTGCTTTTTTAATTTAAAGGTTATTTCTCTAGAAAACAATTTTTCATAACTCCATTATATTCCATGATTTGCTTATACCATACTTTAAGCAATTTTTGATTAAGTTCTTCCCGATTTTTGCCATTATAAATTATATTATGACAAATATCCTTAATCATAAATCTTTGTCCCCATTTCTGATTCTTTCCTTTGGAAAAAGTCCTAAGCCTAGAATAAAAGATGTAAACATTTTTAAGCTTTTAACGTACTTCGCAAAATTGCCCTTCAGAAAGGTTCTGCCAGTGTGCACGCTTGTGAGTAATTTAAAAGAATGGCTGAGGACAACACTTTTTGATTCAAGACAGTGAGGAGTTACCTGGGGACTAAATAGGAAAGAACTTTAGATTGCTTAGCCTAAGATGAAAATTTAACCGTAGACCGTTAGAAAATTAAAAA